ACTCCCCACTCTCCCCACAGCCCTGAAAGCTGCATTCTTCTCGACAGACACTGCAGGGGACCCGGTGTGCTCGATGCGTGTTCACAACGTGCTCTCAAGGCAAAGCGCTGTACTTCAAACGCTGCCTCTTAAAAACTCAGCCTGCCCAAAGCTCCCTCAACAGCAAGGCACGAGTTAACAAAGCAAACCAGACCTCCAGCACCACCTCCTGGAGAAAATCTGCATTTCTGCAAACGCAAAGTTCCTCTAAAATTGTTAATGGAAAAACGGTCTGAGAACTAATGAGGCATGTGAATTCCCCCTATATTCGATTCAATTATGTCTCTCTTCCTAAATCATCTTTTTTTATTTAACAAAACTCTAAACTGCCACATCTAATAAGCTCAGAAGAATCAGCGTACCCTATTCATTTCTGGGAACAGGCCGATATTTTCTAAGACCCATTAATAACTATGACAGGATTTATGTACCAGATAAATTCAATTCAATTTCCTTTTTCAATTAATGGCCAATTATTCGAACTCAGCTCAACCAAAAATATTACTCAAGTATCATTAATCTAACAAAAATTAACTTTACTATTCTCTTGGTAATGAGGTGACACTATTCTTTTAGTAATGAGGTGATATAATTTTAAGATAAAATTATGCATTTTAATAAAATGTTGTCTGCCTTAATTTTCAGAACCACTGCTTGCCAGTAGAGCTGAGTTGCACTAAATCAGGTTACTACCATTATGGTGGAGGATTTCAGCAGAGCTCCCTCTTTAGACGCTACCTGAGGACAAACAATGCTTCATTTTGGCCGAAGTTAGAAGTTATTTTATATTAGAAAAAACGATTAGTACATGGAGTCAAGTACAACCAGACAAAAATATTCACAGCCATATTCTGGGCGTTATGTGTAAATAGGCATGTACAAACTTACATAGGCCAAGAGAAAGCGTCCATTTTTTTTTAATAAGACTATAAAGTACCAGGGCCTGAAATGAAAGGTTTACAAGAAGCTGCAAACTGCACTATCAAGTTGTTTGGGGACCTGAACGTCTCTGGCTGATATACGAGGCAGTTTTGTCTGTGCTGGTTTGCGTTCAGACTTCAGTCACAGCAGGAATGCCACCAGGGCTGCCTACATGGTTAATTGGGAGCTTCTCGGAAACGATCCTTACCCGCGCAGAAGCTGTCACCCATATCTCATTCATAACTGTTGGGAGCTCTTAGCTCTGCCTCTGTCATGTTCCCAGTGCCGAGATGCATTAGCTCTAATGCAGCAGCTTTCTGCCAGATCAATCTTCAGGTCACATTACAGTTTTATAAAACCACACACTTGCTGAAGCACGGTGTGACAGACTGGTTTGCACACACGTGCTGCCCGCTCTCTACAGCCAGGTCTGCTCAGCATGGCCCTGAAGCTCAGGTGCAGCCCCCCGCCAGCATCACCCCTGCACGTCCCTGGGTGCTTTTTCTGTTTTGGTGCGCACTAAGCAATTTTTGAGAAGAAAGTCCCAGCAGCTTCAATCCATCACCATGGGAAACCCAACCCAACCAAGCAGCCCTGCTCTCCCCATCATGACACCCCCCACCCCCAGCCTGTTTTACACTGGACTCAGTGTACAGGACCGCAGATGACAAATGCCTGCCACCAGGTTCTTTCTGCATCTGGAACAAACCTTTCGGATCCCTACTACACACTAAGTTATTAGTCTCTAAAATCAAATCACTCTGCAAGAGACACTTGGATATCACAGTCTATTGTTTACGTCACAGAACTCCTGTAAAAAACACACACACCCTGCTTCCCCTCACTGCAACAGAGGCTGTTTGTCGAAGGAATAGACCGTGGAAAAACATTTTCTCACTGTCAGTCCCAGTGCAGCCAAGCTATGCAACTGTGAGCAGCAAAACCAGATGGAGCTTTGCAGGAGCCAAGCCAAGGAAAGCCTCACAGAAGAAACACTGCCAAAACTGCTAGAAAAAGGAATACTAGAGCCACAGGGTAAAGGCTAGCCAAACTGCAGCAACTTGGGCTTCTCCCCTTCTAAAGAAAACAGCATCATACAACAATGTATGCAATGAGTGTTTATATTTCAGAGAGAGAGGTAATAATATAATTACAAAGCTAGTGTATGCTGCCAATTCCATGCCGAAGAAGGGATGGAAAATAGCCCACAGAAGTTAAGGACTTTTGCAATCAAAGAGAACTAATGAGGAAGCAGGGACATGCAAAACACAGTGAGCCAAGTCACATGGGTAAGACTGAAACTTTACCCTAAATGGACACAGCACAACGGTGAAATCCCCATTCATAGAGTCATCCAGACCATACATTCCACACACAAAACTGCAGGCAGCTCACACACTGCGTTTCAGTGTGTGAAAATCATCTCTATGAATTTCTGATTTAGATCACATGTTCTGATCTATGCATGAAACTGTGAACATGAAGTGCCACAAGACGACTAATTGAAGCCTAAAGGTTACGAGGGTCAGCACCAAGGTGCATCCCCATCCTTTCTTCTATAGGCTTCCTGGCTTTGACTCCAAGCCATCGCTACTGGAAAACCAGTAAGGAAAGCATAAAATACTGCTCTACCATGAAGTATTATTATACAATACAAACAAATCCTCTCTCATTCCCTCTTCTCTTCCTTCTTCCACATTGAACTGATTCAATTCTAAAAGGTTTTTTTAAGATTACAAAGAATGATTTAGAAAAAATAAGCCAGAAATATCTTCCTAGGGGTTCACCTTTATCATTTCAATATGCTTTTGAAAATTTCTGCTTAAGAACTAGAATTCAAAACACTCATACTGCTTCACTATGTCTGTAAAGAGGCAAAAAATCACCAAATAAATTATACACCAGCTCTACTAGTTACACTTGCAAGAACTGCTTTCCTACTTGAGCTATAGCACACAAGAGCTGGCCCAGCTGCCTTCCAGAGCAGCTCCCTTCCAGGCAGGGCGCCCCACTCCCCACTGCAGACATCGTACCACCATGCAACTGCTCATTACTTCCCAGTACTTCAGATATTTGTAGGTTATCAGCCGTGATTCTACATTTACTACTGTGCAAATAAGAGATGATCCTCAATCTGAAAAGATCTGAGGGCTCCTATGAGAAATACTCTTCCCCCGTGATCTTCTCCATTTGAGACTGACTGAACCACTTCCCTCAGCACTGCTGTACTGACAGGTGTAGCATTATCAACAAACAGCATGCATTGCTCCACAAGTTCTGTTTTGTATCTTTACCAGATTTAGTAATCAGTTCAACTGACAGAGATTCCATCAAATAGACTAACCAAGCAAATTTGTTTGTTATTTTCATTACAAATAATGGTAGTCTTTATTTTTTCCTCCTTAATTGGCAATTTTTGACCAAGTTTTTTTTTCCAGTAAGGGCTAGATGCAGTCAATACACCATGAGAGGAAAAAGATACGCAAGGGAACGCTTGTGACCGGAAAGGGGGAGTTACAGAAGTGGATGGGAAATCCCACAAAGAAGCACAGCGTCTGGAAAAAGCTGCCAGTATGTGAAAAAAAGAAACAGCATTATTTCTTAAATTCAGAGCTTAGTAAAATGCAGAGCTCCTCATAGAACCAGCAGCACATGCGCTGTCCAGACTGCTGTCAAACACTTTAAGAAACTTTTTATCCACCACAGAGGCATCAAAACAAGCACACCTCCAGTGATGTACAGTAACTTCAATACCATGAAGAACCATGACCGTCTTTTAAGAGAAAGCTATAGGTGCTTCACTACAGGGCGCAATGATCCTCTGTACAGTGCTTCCCTCGTTCAGGATACTGATGATCATCCCCTTCCTCACAACCCCAGGACAGCTGAGGCTGGAAGGAACCCCAGAAGGCCAGGGGGCCCAACCCCCACGATGAGCGACCGCGGTTTCACAGGGCTTTGCCGGCACAGCTCTGAGCCCTGAGCAACCACAGTGCAATTCTGCGCTATTGCTCTGCACCCACCAGGGCTTCCTGCACAAAGTCTTAATGCTCCTGACACATCTGTCCCTCTAAGATTCAGTAAAGCCAGTAGTGCTGGTTTTCCTCCTCTCTGATAAAGAACAGAAAAAAAATCTCAACATTCCTCCTCCAGTTTCAGCTTCCCTGGGCTCTCAGCCACAGTCACTCAAAAATGAATAAATACAAAACTTCCCAGGCCCTATTCACCTAAGCCACATGCGGCTGTGCTGGGATTTGTATGCATATGGGGGACACTGGCTCGACCGAGCTCTGTGCCCATGCTGCTGCTTTTGTCCCCTACCCTTCTGTCACTTGCTTTGGCTCCGGATGTGGAAGCTGAGCCCCTGCAAACATTGGCTGAAAACGTTCAGGGGAAAAGGAAGCTGCTGTCCTGGACAGAAGGAAGACAGAGGACTGAAGGACTACTAAACCACTAAAGGACTGTTCATTCTTGTACAGTCTAGCAGTAATTACCTACATAGAACAGTAGGTCTACCCACATGCTGGACAGTCCTGGCAATGACCTTACGATCGCCTGCTCTTTATAAAAGAAGTGACAAACATCATTCATGTACCAGTGGAAACTCATGCTACAATTCTCACAAACCTCCACCCAGGACAGTCTGCCAACAAGCACTAAGGATTCTTAACAGAAATTTTGACTGCTGGCAGCCCCACTGCCCAGCTGGTCAGACCTGGCACCACTCCAGGCTGTCAGATGGTCAAACAGCTTCTTAAAGAGAAAGTAATTCTCATTTAACAAGAACATTGTTAGAGAAAAAAACAATCACTTTAAATGAAAGGCTTTGGAAATTCTAGTATTTGACTTTTCAGTGGATGCACTTCTGTGAAACCAGCATTTGTATATTTTACAAACGAATGCCTTAGCACAGAACAACTTCGTAAAGATGTAATCCTCATCACATTAGAAACAGCTCACATACACACACCAACCAGAAGAACCCGAACAGTTTAACAGAAATTAACCACCTGTTGAACTTATTTAATAAAGAAATTTACCGTAAAATGCTCCTGTGATTTATAGTTCTCATCCAGGTAAACTCGAGCCCTGTTGTAGTCTTTCATCGCATCACTTGATAATAACTCTCTAAAAGATAAAGAAAAGATGGAAAATGAGGGGACATGCAAACATTCCACATTAACTCAGCATCATTTTCTGCACCGAAATGTCATCATTAACCAGAAGAGGACCACGAAGATGATCAGAGGGCTGCAGCACTTCCCTACAAGGCCGGGCTGACACAGCTGGGATTCTTCAGTCTGCAGAAGAGAAAGCAGCAGGGAGACCTTCTAGCAGCCTTCCAGTGCCCAAAGGGACTTCTTATAAGGACAGGTAGTGACAGGACAAGGGGAAGTGGCTTTAAACTTGAAGAGGGTCAATTTAGACCAGAGGTTACAAGAAATTCTTCACTGTGAGGCTGGTGATGCACTGGAACAGGTTGCCCAGTGAGCCTGCAGATGCCTCCTCCCTGGAAGCATTCAAGGCCAGGCTGGATGGGGCTGTGAGCAACCCGGGCTACGGGAGGTGTCCCTGCCTGCAGGGCTCCTAGAGGAACCACTGGCTTTTACCTCATTTTGGAACGAGTTTCAGGGAAGGTTTCCTGTGGCAGAGCCATCTACCTACAGGCTGTGGAGCTGAGAACATCAGCATCACTTTCAACATAACTCTCAATGCTTCTTAGTGCCTACTGAATACAACTGTGAAGGACTTATGACTTTGAACGTCTGAACATTAGGTATAATTGGGTGATTAATGCCATAGCCTCAACTTCCCTGAACTCTATTATCTGCAGACTGAAAGCAGCCTTTTGACTTTCTGCCTAGAACAACATTGTAGCAGTACTTTCTAGTTACTTACTTAACAAACTTGTCCACGTGAGACATGGAAGCCTCATAGTTTTTTCCTCCAAATTCTTGACAGTGTAAAGCCATGAAGTGGGGCTTGTGTGCATGAACAACCTGAAACAAACAAAAAACCAAATAAGTAGAAAGTTGTATCCAGAGCTACTAACATACAGCATGTACATAATAAATGATGTAAAAGCAGACACTGCATTTCTGAAAGTAGAACCATCAGCCAGAGAAGGAGCTAAAAGAACAGCAATAAGAGGAGCATCGCTTGTTAGCGTGTGTAAAAGTTTTGTAATACATACTAATAATCTCAAATGTTGTAAGACAGTACTTTTGTTCTTGAACTGTGAATTTGTTACCAAGCACTTGAAGCAAATGCATAACCTCTTCCAGCTCACCTTGAAAAGGACTTAGCAGCACCAGCTGGGTCAGAGCATCTCTTGGCCTGGGATTTAGAAGAATTCCAACACCTGATTTTATTTTATGCTACAGCATCTCAAACTCCCTCAGGATGAAATGCTGACTAGAAATCTCATTTGATATTTTGACTTACGGAACATCTCATCCCCAAAATTACTTAAACATCATTATATGTGCACTGTACACACATATCTAAACCAGGAGACACAAACACCCATTGTGCTATTTTAAATGTTAATCTTACAAAGTGAAAACATCTTAAGGATTAAACAGCCAGCACTGTGACACAATCAGACCAAAATAAGTACAAAGTACGTTCCTTCACTGCACATCAAGTCAAATATGCAGCATTCATACATTCACTGCTGCTTTACACAGTTATTTTGTCTTTAAGCATTTTGTCAGCATAAACTATACCCAGCATTGCAAAAGCCGTGTCTAAAACACCTCTGTGTTGGCACTGAGACTCTACAACTTATATTTAACAATTTATTATCTTCAGAAGTAACGGATACTAGCTAAAAACAATCCAGTTTCAAAGAGGATAACAGCAGGAAGCATTTGCATGTGTGCTGGTGCAAGAAGTGTGCAGACACGGAACTGAAGTAACAGTCACTGGGCATGGTGTGGATGGGCTAGGGTGGGACTTGGAGATCTTAGAGGCCTTTTCCAACCTTAATGATCCTGTGATTCACTTGGACACGAACAGGAATTAATGACCTAACTAGGACATGCAGTAATCTTGCCATAAGGATTCAGGTCCAACTAGAGTGGGACACAGCAAAAAAGTTAATTGAAAAAGAAAAGCAGACAACAGACAAAACAGCTAAAAATACCAGAGCCAATGAAGTTTGGCCCAACTTGATACACGCATGTACTTTTCCTTTATGCATTTGATATAACTATGAAAGCTTACATTAATAACAGCTGCCTTTACAGGTTTATCAGTAATTAGAAGAGAAGGCTCCAGCCCTTTGCCCAGCACCAAATCCCGTGCTGAACAGCACACTGTTACAAAGCGCCTGTGAACATGCTCCTTGGTACGGCTGCCAATACTAGAAGTTTTCATTGCTAGAAACCTAAACATTGTCTCACTTTTCAGCCAGACCCAACCGGCAACACCAGAGCCGCAGGAACCAACACTGCAAGCAAACCTGCCCGCAGCCAAAGGGAGCAGCACCCCGGGGAGGCGGCGGGCGGCAGACGCAGCGCCAACCCGCAGCAGGGCTGCACTCACGCAGCAAACGCAGCGCGCTCCTACGGCCGCCCTTCCGCCTCACGGGCAGCGCAGCACCGACCCAAGCAGCGCCAGCCGCACGGCAGGCGGCGCGCTGCACCCCGGCGGCGCGGTTGTGGGGCTCGTTTCAGCCCATTTCTGCCAATCGTCTCGCAAGGCTGTGTCCAATTTACGGTCATTATAAAAAAAGCACAGCGTCCTGCAGAAAAACACACATTCTCATACGCATCAGAAGGCAGGACATCAAAACGCATGAGAGCGGGAGCAAGATGCATTAGGGAGCACCTGCCAGCTGCCACACAGTCCAACGGCCAAACAGTAATCAAGCGTCTTCATAAGTTTGGTTGTTGGTTGATTTTCTTTATCGTCTTGGAGACGTATTAACCAAACTCAACTTGTGACGCTGGACTCTATGACAGAGCTCATTTGTGGTCCCTAAACAATACAAAGTCCCAACGCTCTATGTGCTTTATTGCTCCAAATCAGTTTTGGCTTCCAACTACAGATCTTATCTATTCTGATAGCTCTCTGAAATCACCATAATTAGAAAACAATTGTAACTGTTCAATGTTGTAAAGCAGACACATGCAATTCTGTTTCAAAGCAACACATCTACCGAACACTTGTTTCAAATAACATAAAAAAAAGCATCAACACACGACATTATTCTTTTACAATCATACAAGAGTTAGGATCTCTTCTCACACAGCGAATATAACTAAGAAATCGCTAACTCCAAACTAAAATGAATAGTTTCAGAGAATGTAGGCACCAGCTGCCTCATCACATACATTAAGGATGAGCAACAGGGAGCCCTGAACATGGGATCCTGCAAAGAAAACACTGGAGAAATACTTTGCTATGCTACAGCAACAGCAGAAAATATTGAAGCCTAGCAATTCCTGGAATCTGAATTGAGATGTGCGTAGGACAGAGATTTCGGTGTATATTCAAATCTCTCAGTCTGAAATCACAGCAGGCGTAACAACAAAAAACTGCACACCACTTTTTGAAATGGGGAAATTGCCATAGCAGTGAGAGGCTTTAGCAGCATTCCTTGGAGGTTAAAGCACAAAAACACACCTGACTACTAGTTACATCATTCACATAACAAATACCTTCAAACTATGAGCAAATTGGTTCTGCTTCATTACCCGTTACTAGTTTTCAACTGCGATAAAAGAACAAACAGTACATAATAATGAATAATGGATGTTTCAGAGTTTTAAGTCCGCATTTGCCAGAGGTTAAGGATCAGATATTAGATGACAAATACTGAATGTGCATCTATAATAGAACAGTATTTTTTAAAGCTAGGCATTACTCTTGATTACCGGATGCACAAAATACGACCACACAACATCCCAGGCCAGAGGGAACCCACGAGGACCAGGCGCCAGCCCCGTGCCACACGGCAGCACCCACCGCCAGCCCTACAGCTGAGCAGTGCCTGCGCTCCGCGGCTCAGAGCCGTGCCCACTGCCCTCTGGGGCACAGCCCTCCCCTAATCCCAGCTCCCTTGAGCCCTGCTGATGTCTGCAGAGCTCGGAGCCCTGCCTCCACTCTCCTTGAGAGGGAGGAGCTGAAGGGCCACCACAAGGCCCCACCTCAGCCTCCTCTGAACCAAACAAACCAAGGGACCTCAGTTGCTCCTCGCACCTCTCGATCTCTTGCCATCTTTGCTGCCCATCTCTAACAGTTTCACATCCTGCCTCTGTCGTGGCACGCAAGGTGCTCAAACGTTCTTCTGTGTGAGGTCTGGCAGCACGTGCTCTGTCTCTCCTGCTGAGAAGCTGAGCATGGCATAAAGGAGCTGAGGGGAGCAGTGCGGGGCACAGTGCTGCCAGGGCCCCTCCTGCAGCGGGACAGCTGGGTCTGGGCAGGCTGGGGACAGTAGAATCATTGAATAGAAGGTTGGAAAGGGCCTACAAGATCATCGAGTCCAACTGTCCTCCCATCACCACTGCTACCACAAGCACTAAACCAGATCTTGTAGCTCCTCATCCAGACACCTCTTGAACACTGCCAGGGACGGCGACTCCATCACCTCCCTGGGCAGCCATTGCAGTGCCTGACCACTGAGAGAAAAAGTTCTTCCTTATGTCTAATCTAAACCTCCTCTGGTACAACTTGCAGCCATTACCCCGTGGGCTGCTCGTTGCCTGGGAGAAGAGGCCAAACCCTTCCTCACCACAGCCTCCCTTCAGGAGGTTGCAGAGTGCAGTGAGGTCTCCCCTGAGCCTCCTCTTCTCCACACTGAACTATCCCAGCTCCCTCAGCCGCTCCTCATAAGGTTTGTGCTCCAGACCCCTCACCAGCTTTGTTGCCCTTCTCTGGACACGCTCCAGAACCTCAACATCTTTCCTGTAGTGAGGGGCCCAAAACTGAACACAGCACTCGAGGTGCAGCCTCACCAGTGCTGAGTACAGGGGGATGATCACCTCCCTGCTCCTGCTGGCCACACTATTTCTAATGCAGGCCATCTTGGCCACCTGGGCACACTGCTGGCTCTTGTTCAGCCGAGCATCAACCAACACCCCCAGGTCCTTTTCCTCTTCGTAGTCATCCAGCCACTCAGCCCCAAGTCTATAGCGCTGTATGGGGTTACCGTGGCCAAACTGCAGGACCTGACACCTGGCCTTGTTGAACCTCATCCCATTCACCTCATTTGTACTTCTGTGCTCCTTACCTGCCATGGGAGGTAATGCCTGGGCCTGACTCAGCACAGAGAAAGACTGTCTGTTGCTACCAGTTGGAGCTGAGCTCTGAGCAAAGCTCCCTGCGTGAAGGAGCTACTGCTGCACAAGCACAGTGCGCATCAGAAGGCACATGGCTGAACATGACCTGGTGTATTATTATACCGCAGTGCAGCCACAACAGAAAAAAGTCACTACCTAGCAATTACTAGGTAATTTTTAATGCCACTTAAGAGTATGCTGAAACTACTTGCAGTAGTTAGTTACTCCACACACACACACACACACACACACACAGCAGGAAACTCAAAAAGCCTGCATGGAGTGTAGCAATTGGACAGATTCAATAGGATACAATAAGGTGTTTTCACCAGAGGTGTAATGATGTAAGGGCTGGCACAACATAAAGGTGCTATAAGAAGAGGGGAAAAGATTACTTACACATATGAGAAGATTCCAGGCTTGCAGGGGAAAACTCCAGGAAGGGATCTCCAGAAAGAGCTCCTTCCCCAGCAGCAGTCAGCCCTTAAATGAGGTCTAGGAGAGGTGCAGCCAGGCTCCACCCCTTCTGGTCACACAGCTGAATTGCCTTAGCTGTGCTCTCAGGGCTGACCTGGTCCTTTCCCAGGTGCTCAATCAGTGCTTCAGGCTGTGACTCAACAATTCCCATACAAGGAATTATTTACATTTAACAATACTTCGGTGCCATTCTTGAGTAATTCTTGAAGGTCTTTTACTTACTTTACGTAATATGC